GACAGCGGACCAGCATGAGTCACTACAGGGAGGGGAGGGGGCAGGGACTGGTCGCTTCGAAAGGGAACTCGCTCCCTGCTGCTGGACCAAAAGGAAGAAAGAGCAGGAAGAGCAGGGTGAGGAGGAGGAGGGGGGTGGGGGGGATCTGGTCGCCTCGGCCGCACAGCACGGCGAGTATGCAACCCGACGTAATGCCTTACGGGCCCCTCCGCGCCCGGCCGCATGGCTCGCCGCATGGCCGAGCGGCCGTCAAACATTCGCGTCGGGTCTGCAGGCCGCGCCACGAGGGCACGCCGGCGCCTCGCCTGCTCGCCATTCCTCTGTTTTCACAGCCGCGATGAGCGGCGGTGCGCACCAGTTATGCGTCCGCACGCCGCGATCCGGCCGCGCATCCCCGCCTCGCAGCGTCCTGAACGCAATGCCAAACGCAATGGGAGCGCACGCATTCCAGACTCGCCTCGCCGTTTACCTCAATACTATGCCCCAAACCGTTTGCCAGCAACAGAAAAAAAGAAACGACCATCAGTAGTTTTCGGTTTTTCATCATTTCCTGAATTATGTGAGCTTAAACGATATTTGTTGTTTGCTGTATGCACGAATGGAAAGAGATTCGCTCTCACGGCTTATGCATTCGCTGGAATTTTCACTGGGGGTTTCAATTCAGAGCGGACACCACAGCGTTGGTTGCATCCTCGCTAGAGACGCAGTATGGTGCCTTACGTGCGATAGGACTACATTCAAACCCACAACAACTGCTGCGTCCGCCTGAAACACCAAAGTCACAACAACACAACGAACATTTCTTCTTTGTACCGGGTGATTAAGAGAAGACGCATGTGCGGACAGGTTTGCCTACCTAAGGGCCTATGGCGCCTGACGGGCAGAACGAGCAAGCCACCTGCGTTTTCTCTTGAATCACCCGGTACCCAGATTTTTTTTAAATGAATAACATAGCCTTAATTAAGGCTAAATTCTTTTACGTATTGAGCGTAACTTATGCATGTACACACAACAGACCTACATTGCTTAGAATTTAGTTCGAAACTCAACTCCACGATTTTTCTAATTCGTAAATAAATGTTTGAAGATTGGCGTCATTTCATTTCTAGACGGTCGGGACAGAACGATATCGACAGCAGACCGATGGGATGGATGTGTTCGATCCCCCATCAGCGTCATGGCCGACAAAAAATTAACAATGGACCGTTAAGTGCAAAAGGTTTCATCCTTTGCTCTCCTTTGCCAGCGCGGTCGCGCAGCGGACAACAATTAAAGCAATCAATGAGACAAAAATGGTGACAAAGAGACTGTCAACACAGGAAGGCTGGGACGGGGTTGGGCTGCGGCTGGCGGAGCGTTTCACTTTGTGGTCGGGTCAAACGGACCGCAGGAAAAAAAAATGAAAGAAAAGCAAAGCCAAAAAATGAAAGCTACGGAAACAATACTGAAACGATAGGGGTAAAAGACTGCGCGTTTCATACGTGCTTGTGCTGTGACTCGGTCGGGACTGCTAATAATATAATGTCTGCTTTTTTTTTGTTTTGCAGGTGAGGAGCTCTTTTGGTCGCCTGAGGACAGGTGGCTCGGTGGTCTGATCTGACTGCAGTAGTGTGTTGGTGAGTGGATAAATTAAAGTAAAGAGGATGGATAGAGTTGTGTGTGTCCGGGGAGAGGAGGGGATGCAGCACGGTGAGCAGTGTGGAGCTGATCTGCTGATTGATGGATGAGAGCTACACCCCACGTAGAGAGTCTGCTCGGCCAATACGAAATTTACTGCCTATTGTGTGTACGCGTACTTTTCAAAAAAAGATAGTACACAACAAGAGGGAAAAAATAATTTCAAATTTGACTTTAATAAAAGTAGAAGAGATTGCAAGTATGACATATTGACTATATGTTTCATTAGTAGGAAACTATAATTCTGTAAAAGTAAATGAACGACATCGAACCACCCTGCATCATACCACTTGTAACTCGTACGTGCTGCTAGTGTAACAACAACTGCTTTGATGAATTAGCAATTAACTCATGCATACTGATCTGTGTGCTACTGCGTGCTTAGGTGCTACATTACTAACACAATAGTGCTTCAAAGTGCAGATATAATTGGGCACGAAATCGTGCACATGTTCCGGATGCACGGATTGCGGAGTAACTCGCGACTCGGCAACTCGGGCACAAATTTTCTCCCTCGGGTTTTAGTGGATCGCGAGCTGGGAAGCCTCCTGGGCGGTCGGGTGCCGGTGACAGGCGGCCGCTGCCTGCTGCCGTAGCACCGCCCTTGCGGCGCCTCGCCTGGTTCTGCGATCGGCAGCCATCGCGCGCAGCGAGACCTGATAAATCAAACCTGT